GACAGGTTGAAATGGAAAATTTCATATAGTTAAGTGAAATGAAAATTTTCATATAAGATATAACAATTTGGGGCTAGGGATGCTATCTTCCCAAACAGATGAAAATCTGCATGTAACTTTTATTTTTTAAAGATAGATTTATTTATTTATACAAGAACGGGGATATAGGCCAGATTCGTGGGAGGGTGAGAGGATTCACCAGAGATGAAGCGGGGAACAGAACAGGCAGACTGATGAAATATACTGCTGAAGCAGCGGGCGAGACAGGAGAGGTCTGCCGCACCATGTGGGACCCTCGCCAGCTGGCCTGGATTGAACCGGTGCTGCAGAGGTTGCGGACAGCTTCACAATGCTGCGCTCAACCACCTGCGCCACCAGGGGAGGCCCATGCGTGTAACTTTTAACTTCCCCTAAAAACTTAACCACTGTTGACCAGAAGCATTACTGTAACTGGGTGGTCCCAAGGAAAAGGGGATGTTCCAGGTTCCCTGCCCCACCCAAAGGAGGGTGTTGCTGAGCAGGGAGGAGAAGAAGCTGGAGAGGAGACTGGAGAAGGAAGGAAACAGGCTGGAGAGCCAGAAGGTGACTTGAAGGAGGCACAAGGAACAGAGAGACATGGAAAGAAACTCTGCTTGCTTCTTAGTCCTGGACTGGGTGAAACAGACGTGGGTGAGAGACCCGTGGGGAGGTTAACAATGACAACTTTTATCTTGATTTTTATTTTGCTCTTTTCCTCCCAGACTTGTCTGACTGTTTTTAACCCTTCTTTATGATTCACCACCAGAAGATGCTTTAGACTTGTGGAAGGTTTTTGGGCCTTGCTTTGGGCCAATCCTGTTTGGCTGGTCTTTTACCCACGAGGGGATGGGTAACTTTGGGTGCTTGATTTGGAAACTATATTCTTCCCCTTTTCTGTATTGTACAGTAATTGTATTAAAGTTCTTTTCCATTAAAGGTCTATATGTTTCTGTCTTGATGTGGTGGATGGCAGAACCTATTTTGAGTGAGCAGGTTTGGGTACCCCTCTTCCTGCCCTTGGTCCTGGACCAAGGACAGGTCCAGGAAACATTACCATAACATGAATGGGTGAAACATTACCATAACATGAACAGTAGATTAACGTGTATTTTGTAAGTTGTATGTATTGTGCACAGTATTCTTACAAAAAAGTAAACTAGAAAAAGGAAATTATGAGAAGCATCAGGAAGAGAAAATGCTTTCATAGTGCTGTACAGTTTTTAGTGATACTGTAAGATTACAACTTCTGTTTACAAGAAAATAAGTCTTGTCCTCATATAAGTCCTCATATAAGTCGACCTGCAAAGTTCAAATTTCTGTTGTTCATGGGTCAATTTATACATATATGTATACATATGTGTGTGTGTGTATATATATATGATGACAATGAGACATTCTGTTATTCATGGTGGGGTTGAGGGGGTGAGGGATCTCTTACTCATAGCCTTGTTTTTTTCTTAAATGTTCTTACTGAATGTAAACCAAGTTGATTTCTTATCCATAGTCATTTGGCTAGGAAGAGAAAAGCATTGGTGTTTTGCTGTTGCCAAATATGACTGCATAAGGCTTTATTACACAGGGTGTGGTTTGGTTGGAAGTTTTGTCTTTATTTTGAGTATAGAGTTTTAAGATAGGCTTCAGAGAGCAGGATTCCTGTAACCCAGTGATTCTTGCAGCCAGCTCTTGACTAGTCTAAATATGATTTGATGGATACCACCCATAAGAAGTGAGGTTGAAATTTATAAATAAAATTGAAAATGAACATTTTTCATATTTAAGATATACATGTCTTCATAGTCTCATACAAAAACTGTGAAAAGCAATTTTAAATGCTCCTTTGCTAGAATTTTAACAAGTAAATGAAGTGTTAGTGGTAACAGCATTTATTAAGGGCTTTCTATGTCTAATAATATCCTGTTTTTTCCTCCTATATTTCAACCATTTTCTCCTCATTTACTCTGTCCTCTTTCTCTACCTGACTCCCTAAATATCATTACCCTTCAGAGCTTACGCTGTCCTCCGCCTCACTGAAGCTTCTTTCTCCCTGCATGAATCCATCCATTCCCAGCTGATGGTTCTCAGAATTTTACCTCTGGAAGAACTCAGAGCTCCCCACTACCAGTCAGGTGTCTCACAGATGTGTCAGACTGACATACTGAGAACTGAATTTTTGGTTTTTGTGTCAATGCTTATTCTGTCTTCTGCCTCCTTACTCTAGACTTTCAGCTCAGTCAGTGGCATTCCTATCCATACAGTCTTTCCTTACTCTCACATTCAAGCCACCGGCCATTCCTGTTCCTTCTACTCCAGATATTTCTCAAATCTACCCGCCGTACACTTTTCCCTTCGTCTTCCAGGTTACTATTACCTCCATCGTAAGCTTGCTTTCTTTATTCCATTTTTGCCTTTCTTAATCCTTTCCACATAAGGCACCCCATTTAGTTTTACTAGCTTATGTTCTTCTGTTTAAAACACATTCAAAGGCTTCACATGGACTTTATGATAAAATCCAAAATTTTACATTGACTGAAAGGTCCTGCTTGACTTGGCTCTTGCCACACTCCCTAAGTTTATCTTTTGCCACTCCCAGGTCTTGTAGCTCTTAAAAGCTAAGTGTTTTCCTGCCTAAGGTATTTCTGCTCCCTCCTAGGGTGCTCCTGTTAACCTTCCCACTCACTCATCCTGCGTTTTCCTCTTCTCCCTTCACCCCCAGCATACAAAACTCCTTCCAATCCTGTGTATCTAATTTTCTGGTAAGTTCCTTAGAGATTACTTTACTTGCTACTTTATCTCAGAGAGACCTTTCCTCCTCTTTCTTTAAAGTTAACTTTCTTAGACTTTATCTGAAAGAAGTCTCTCCCATCCATTCCTTAGAGATAGTCTTCCTTTAACTAAAGGTTTCTCCCCCCACCCCCATTTCTAAATAATCTTTCTTAGTCAATTGTTTGTTTTCTTTATAACTCCTTTGGACCCAGTTTTGATGGATTTGCTTATCCAATAAGCAATTCTGGGATGCCACCTGTTTGTCTTACAATGCAACTCAATCTGATGTCTACTGGCCTGGAGATGGGGTGTGATTCACAGATTAAGGGCTTACCTCCGTACAGTTCTCCCTCAGCCCTCACTTTAGATCCCAGGTGAAAGCCCAGGTTGCTACCTGTGCTTCTAACTGACCAGTTATAAATTGGGGGTCCCAGTGACCCCCTTCTTGGACTCCAGATGCCAATCCCAGCCAGGTTGTTCCCCGCACTTTTGGCTGCTTGTCTATTCGATCAGAGATTCCCAGGACCACCTGTTCAAGTTTGATTCATTTGCTAGAGTTACTCACAACTTTGAGGAACATTTGACTTACTCTAGATCACTAGTTTATTATAAAAGAATATTACTCTGAAACAGCCAGTTGGAAGAGATGAACAGGACAAGGTATGGGGGAAGGTTTTGGAGGCTTCCATGCCCTTTCCAGGTGTGCCACAGTCCTACCCCTCTGTGTTCACCATCCCTGAGGCTCTCTGAGCTCTGTCCTGGTGGGCTTTTATGGCAGCTTTGTTCCATAGTTGTGATTGACTAAACCCTTGACCATTATCAATTCAGCCTACAATCCCTCTTTTCACAGAGAGAGGTCAGGGGAAGGGACTGAAAGCTTCAATCCTCTATCATTAGCTCCAACAGCAGCCTCCAAACATAAGTGCATTCTGAAAGTCATCATCAAAGTAACAAAGACACCGTGTTAGTCCAGTCACTTAGGGAATTAGGTTTTTGGAGCTCTGCCTTAAACTAGGAAGAAGACCAAATATATTTTCTTATCCTAAATCACAGTAGCATTTGAACAGTGAGGGTCAGGGAGCCACAGCTCCTGGTCAGCCACACAGGCATACTGTACAATGGTAATGTGTTGTCAGTGTTTTCGACTTAACAATATTTTGATTATTTCTCGATTTCTCCCACAAAGAAATGTAAGCCCCATGCAGAACAGGAACCACGCTTGTCCTATTCATCTTGGTATCTCTAGTGCCAGCTCTAATAAGCTCTAATTTCTATCCTTTTTCTCAGTAGTAAACAACTACATTAAAGATTTCTTTCACTTAAAATTTTGACTATAGATTGTTTGGACTTCCACTAATCCTACTTTGATAAGAAACCAATAGTGATTCTTTTCTTTGAAAAAGATTGATTAGATTGATTTTGTGAAGAGAAATTTGGTCACCATTAAAAAAGGATAGTAGTTCTGAAACTAAGGTAAGTTTTATGAATGGAAAAAGGATAATTAGAACTACCATATTTTATAATAATTTATTTAGAATTTTTTTTATTAAGTATATAGCAAACCCCAAAAAATCAAAACAAATCTTCCCTGACTCTTATCCAGCATACATTTTTAAAGTTTTATTTTATTTTTATTTATGCATACAAGAGCTAGAGAATAGGTCAGATGTGGGGGAGGGGGGGTGAAAGGATTCACCAGAGACAGAGTGGGGAATAGAACAGGTGGATTGACTGAAAACACTGCTGAGGGAATCAGTGGGTGAAATAGGAGAGGTCTGCTGCGCCATGTGGGTCAGCAACCTGGCCAGGGATCGAACTTGTGCTGCAGTGGCTGCTGATAGCTTCATAGTGCTGAGACTTAACTCCTTGCTTCACCAGGAGGCCCACCAGCATACATTTTTAATAGCCTTATTGAGATATAGTTGACATAGAAACTGAACATACTTCAAATATATAACTTGGCCAGCACAAGTTTTTAAATAACATGTAACCATGATGTTGCCTTATATGTTATTAGGACGAGTAAACTGTATTGACAAAGGTATGTATGTAAGAGAGCATCAAATGAGTAGCACAGATTAGCATCAAATGAGTAGCACAGATTTAGTGAACTACTAAAAAATATTGTAGATAATATCAAGAGCATGATTGATTTTAAACCAGAAATATTATTTATGCTTTGTGCCATTTAAAATCTTGTCTTCCCTTTTGTATTTTAGCAGGGTATTTCTTTTGGTGGGAGCTCCCAAAGCAAACACTACCCAGCCTGGGATTGTGGAAGGAGGGCAGGTCCTCAAATGTGACTGGTCTTCTCATCGTGGGTGCCAGCCAATTGAATTTGATGCCACAGGTAAACTGTTGATGCAGAGATCTCTTTCTTAATTATCTTCACTTAAAAAAAAAAAATTAATTTTTGGAAGCATTTGGTTTAGCTTAAAAGCAGACATTATTGAAATAATGTATATAAGGGAAAATTACATAAAGACAATTAATTTGTTGTATATTTTCCTTATCATTTTGTAGCATATAAGAATATTAAAAATATATTGTGTGTCCACTGCTTTAGATGTCTTTAGCTTTCAACTGATAGTGTCTATCAGCAGAAATCTGGGGAAGATCTATTAAAATCTTTTTGCACCTCTTTTGAAAAGTGGGAGGAAGCCTTTTTTGTTCTTTTCTGTGTTGGCAAAATTAAGCCTGACTCACTCACCGTAGAAAATCAACTTCCTGGATTATGCTGAGTGAAATTAGTCAGAAGGACAAAGAAAAATATCAGATGGTATCAATATAGGAGGAATATAGGGAAAACGAACAAAGGGTCAAAAAGATAAAATTTGTAGGCAACTGTACATCTGAGGCATATAGCAGGGGAGAGGGATCAAAACAGGGGTGGGAAGAGCACAAGGGACTGTGGTGACAGTTCACAGGCGATGTGATGGTGGGAGATTTACAGGGACTACACCCGAGGGGAGAAGTCAAAAGTACTGTACAAAAATGAACAATAATGTAAGAAAATTAAAAAGTTAATGTGAAAAATCAACTTCCCAATCCTAGCTATATCTTAGTCTTATGTTGTGCTGCCAAAACTAGTTGAGAAATTGTTCTATGCAAGTAGAACAAATTTTTTCAGTTGACTGAAAAAAAAATGCTCATCCAAAATTTATTGGAAAAATTATGTTATATTTCTGATAACATAAGAATTTTATCTACAGGGACAAATGTCATTGTCAGTCAGGATGGTGACGGTAAGAAGAAATATATAAGGAAGGTGAGAATGACTTAGGAAATAACTTAATTTTACCTTTACTTCAGTGGAAAAAATGTACATAATCCTGTTCATATTTGTTTTGGGATATTTATGTACATGTGTTTAGAGAATCTTCAAAAAATAGTGTGATATTTCTGCCATAATAGTTTTGCAATGTTTTGAGATGATTCTGACTTGCTGGCTTAGATAGAATACTTTCAGATAAAACTGAAGAAAATCAGTACTTTGCCTCTTTTGTTGTTTCCTGTTGTTTTTTTTTTTTAATATATTCATTCATTCTGGGAATTATAGTCTTAGTGAAACAGGAATTATGATGTGAACCTTTCCATTTGACACTGTGATCAGTGCCAAAATGAACGTCAGTCATTAAACTTTTATAGGAATTGGGTCACATGTTTTTTTTCCATTTGAAACCATCTACATTAAACCTGTTTTGTTTTTTTTTTTTTTATCATATATGACTGACATTTGGAAAACCCCAAGAATATAAAATAGTCTCAGTTTTACCATAATAGAGAAATGCATTTCAGAATACCTGTGTATTTCAGTTTATTATGGGCCAGGGCATTTATGTCTTTTAACTAAACATGAATGCTTATAAAATGAAATTGTAATTTAGTTTTGATAGGTTGAACTGTTCAGATATGTTTCTGTATTTAGCGCCATAGGTTTTGTGCAATGCAAGATAATTTACTGCTGGTCTTTTGAAATTTGGCTTTATGTAATATTGAAAATATTTGTATATATTACATATATACATTTATATATAATTTATATAGCTAAATATATTACATATAAAATATGTAATATTTTGTTTATTGAAAAAATAATATCTACACTTGGTAGGAAGCATTTCAAATAGTCCAAAAGGGTATGTATAATGAAAAATAGGACTTCCATCTTTATCAGTCTGCTTAGAGGCAATCACTCTAAATTTCTTTGATCCTAGAATTTTCTTTTTCCTACCCATGTAAATAGTCTTACAAAAAACAACGGACAAATAGGAATATGCTAAATATACTGTTAGCCAGCCACCCACACCTAGCAATATAAATCCTTTATAGAGCTTTCCATATTGACATATATGGATTTGTCTCTTTCTTTGCATATCCCTGGTGGTACGCTGTATATTGGTAATTTATTTAACTCATATTTCTAATTGATTTGCATCTAGGTTATTTTTAGTCTTTTGTTATCATAAACCTTGATATAGTGAAATGTTACACACATTATTCATACATCTGTAAGTATGTTTGTAGGATAAAAGCCTGGCAAGAGATTTTATGCAAAGTATATGTATGTTTCAAGTGTTGATAGATATTGCAGAGGTTCACAGAGGTTCACAACCTTTTTTTCTTTTTCTTTTTTTTTTTTAAAGATTTATTTATTTATTTATACAAGCACTGGTACAGTCAGAAGCGGGGGAGGGTGAGAGAATTCACCAGAGCCAGAGCAGAGAGCAGAACAGGCAGAGTGATGAAGTACACTGCTGAGGGGAGCAGCGGGCGGCAGGAGAGGTCTGCGCGCCATGTGGGACCCTCGCTGGTGACCAGGGATCGAACTGGCGCCTCAGAGGCTGAGGGCAGCTTCACAACCTGGCGCTCAACCACTGCGCCACTGGGGAGGCCTGAGGTTCAGAACCTTTTAATGATGTTTTTGATACTTGTGCCAACCCTTATCACCTTAATTTTATTTTTGTCAATTTTATTTTTTTCCATTGTTATATATAATAACATTGCATTGATTCATATCGTTATATTGATTTGCATTCTTTTAATTAACAGGAACACCAAGCTACTTTGTATTTGTGTGTAAACCATACATATTCCTTTTTCTGTGAACTACTTTTAGTATATTTGTACGTATTTTCTATGGATTTGTGATTTTTTAAAAAAAGATTTTATTTATTTATTTATACAAGAACCGGGGTATAGGCCAGATGCATGGGAGGGTAAGAGAATTCACCAGAGACAGAGTGGGGAACAGAACAGGCAGACTGAGGAAATACACTGCTGAGGGGAGCAGCGGGCGAGACAGGAGAGGTCTGCCTCACCATGTGGGACCCTTGCCAGTCGCCCAGGATGGGCGGACAGCTTCATAGCACAGCGCTCAACCTCCTGCACCACCAGGGGAGGCCCAGATTTGTGAATTTTTTAATGAATCTCAGTTGATGACATTCCATTTTTTTGACTGCTTTGGCCAAAAACTAGAATCATGCTTGACATGAAACTTATCAGTAAGTCAAAATCTAACTGCTTCACTTCATTTCACTGCTAACATCCTGGTCCTGGCCACCATTGTCTCCCACCTGGACTGTCACTCTAGATGCCTGAATTAGTAAGACCACTGCCAGGAAAGAGATGCACATTTAAATTGGGATAGTTTGAGGAGATTTTAGTAAAATAACTATTTATAAAGGACAATGCAGTGTCTCAAGGTATTGGTAGATACTGGTTCAAATTTGCCTTTTAGGTCTGAAGGGAGACGAGAAAGGGGACATTTTCCAGAATCCAAAAACAGAATTATTGGTGGAGAGAACCACGTGACAGGAGCTGAGGCTTTTGTTAGGGAGCAGTGGTCAGCCAAAGTGACCGGAAGGGAGGAGTAGGGGAATAAAATCTTGACCTCACTCTCCTTCCTCCCTTTGATCTTTTGTATGTGTTCCTCCCTGGCCAATCCAGTAGGCTGAGAATTCCTGCTGGTCAGCATCCGGGGCCAAGAACAGGGTGGAGAACAGTGTAGACTTGGAGGGACTGTTGGAAGAGAGTGGAGATACCTCCTGACTGCTCCTGCATTTCTGCCACAGACACCCCCCAGCAGTTTGTTCTCTATAGCAACCAGAGTGATTCCTTTAACATATTCAAATCATAGCACTGCTGCTCAAATTCCACTAATATCTTTCCATCTGTCTCAGGGGAGGACTAAGTATCGCACCCCGATATTTCTGTTTTATTTCATCTTATACTGTTCTTACCTCCTTCATTCTCTTCCAATCTCACTGGGTCTCTGCAGTGACTCCAAGACTGTAGGCACATTCCCACCTCACCTTTGCCTGGACTCTGCTCTGCATGGTATTTTGTTTCCCCAATTCCTAATGGGTGCCACCCCCACCCTCACCTTAAAGAATTGCTCAGGTATCATCTCAGTGATGCCCTGACAATCATATTTAAAACTTGCAGTATTTTGTTGATTGCTTAAATCCTAGGGTTCTAGAACAGTGTCTATTCAACTTGGTGCCCAATAGATTGATTAGATGGGTAGATGAATGAATGAATGAATGACTCAATTAGTCAGCCAGTCAGTCAGAAGAGCTTTTCTATTGTGACAATATTACTGAAGTCCTTTAGTTATATATGTACACGGATGTATTTTTTTGTCTCTTTCATCCTTATATTTCTGTAATCTTTTGTATAATATCTGAGGCTTCCTTTATTGAAGAAATATACAAATTAAGAGTTATTTTTTTACATTATCCAAATAGTGTTTCTGTTGAATAAGATAGCATAGATTTCAGTCATCTAGTCATGAAAAGCTCTATATCTACAAGTAGCACCTGTAGACTGTCTCTTGACTTTATGAAAGGAATATAGTTTCCAGCATCACCCCTTAAACATTTCTAGTTGTTAAAGATTTATTTATTTATGCATGCAAGAAATGGGGTACAGGCCAGAGGTGCAGAGGGAGAGAGTATTCACTAGAGACAGAGTGGGGAACAGAACAGGCAGACTGACTAAAATACACTGCTGAGGGGAGCAGCGGGTGAGACAGGAGAGGTCTGCTGTGCCATGTGGGTAGCTTCCTAGATGGGGATAGAACTCGTGCTGCAGAAGCTGCAGACAGCTTCGCAGTGCTGTACTTATTAACCCCTTGTGCCACCAAGGAGGCGCCCCCTTAAACATTTCTTACTTTCCTCTGTGGAGCAAATCTCACCCCATCCTCTACCAAACACAAATCTCTCAGCACCACAGATATCTTTATTTTTTCTCTGCATCTCAAGGGAGATTGTGGCTTTTCGCTTTTTCCCTCATCTCGGGCCTGTGTCAAGGGAGGTAAGAGCTGAGTGGTTAAGTATGGTCTCTGTA